TATATATATATATATATACATTTCCAATCTAGATATATTTAAAGTTTTAAAATCTATTTAAAAACAAAAGCATTTGTCCAAAATGCATTTTAAGTTTGGAATGTATTTTGAAATATATTTTAGCATTTGAAAGATTAAATGAAAAATATTTTCTATTTAAAAAAAAAAGTCCTTAATCCATGCTATATTTATTATATATTTCAAAATAAATTTTGGCCAGTTTGTGCAATATGGAAATGGATTCTGCCCCAAAACATCCACTATAAAAGTAGTATAAAACATTAGTATATAAAAATGAGTACAGTTGTATTAGTGCTAGAGTAAGTACATTATTAGCTTTGCTTGCTAGTCAATAGTTATCAAGTATAGATACACTATTTCAATAGTTTCCTAACTTTAAGCTGTGGAAATCAGGGCTGATTTGACTTAATTACTTACATTTTATTGAACAGAATTTGTACTTTACTCGAGTAATATTGAAACTGAAAACTTTTGTCCATTTCCAAAATAAAAACATGCTACTGTTTAGTCTTTTTATTTAGTCGAAATACAACACAGATATTTTGCAGGTCATCTTAGGTCAAGTTCACCCAAACCCATTAGTTGAGTCATCTGTTCATTACCACTGAAAATGATTTTCACTCATCCCCTAGTTCGTAAAGGCTTGTATTTTTGGTTTGTTACATGTCTTAAATAGACCACACCTATTTCAGTAGTATATATAACATGTTTATGTAGATTCATTGTGTTTGTGGACTTGTTAAAACTTTGAAAAATGTCTGTGTAATTATAGGGAATCAAGCCGACTCCACCTCCTGTTCCTCCAGTCAAACCATCTTTAGCAACAGGATCCTGGAGGACAGATCAAGTTAGTTACTTACATTTATTCTGACAGAGATTATATTATCATGCGTGCATATAACAGTTTATCTTGTAATGTTAATGTGATGCTTTATATGTGAGCAGCCCAAATGCTTCCATATCAGTACAGCTGCACTATAAGAAGGTTTGCGTTCACTTATTCTTAAACTGTAGACTTTTCACATTGCAGGTCACAGGAGACACAGTCAAGGTTGTGTTGAGACCACCCACCATTCCAAGAAGATGACCAGATGTGAAATCATCATGTGACTCATTTCAACAAATTACAGTCCCTCTTGTTCACTTTTATAGTGTGGGAGTGGCTGAAACACAAAGTGCTTTTTTAAACAATGCTTTAAAAACACACACATACACTGTTGTGAATGATGATATATTGTATATACATTTGAATGTATGACTGGAAAAATAATCAACAGACCAAAATGCTTTATACCGTAATTTAATTGAACATTTACAGACTATTGTGATGAAGTGAATGAATTAAATTCTAAATATTTTTTTAAACTTTTTAAATAAAAGTTTTGATTTTTTTACTGATTGCAAATGGAAGCAGTAGCAATGTCACATGCAGAATATTAGTAATAAATGAATCTCATAAAATAAAGATGCAATGCTTTCTACTTTAATAAAATACAATAATGTCATTTTGCTGAATTGGGAGTTTATGACTATACACTGTGAAAACTGATTTTTCAAAGTTGTAAATAAAATAATTTCAGTCTTTGTACTTCAAAATGTCATTTTTAATTCAATGTTAAACTTGCACTTTTAATTATTTGTTTACTAGCAATTTCTCATTAGGCATTATTATCAAATAGTATTTATTCATTAAACAATAAGTTGAAAAGGAAAGCTTTGAGTGGTTCTTTGTTTTTTTTAATAGTATGATGATAATTGCATCTAATTAATATTTATTAGCAATAAATGCTTTTTAATAAGCTATATTATTATGATTTGAGGAGAGAAAAACAGGCTACACTGTGCGGTTAAACTCAACCTAAATACTGAACCAAAACCAGAAATGTTTCACTGGTTTACTGACTTGGCCAAACACAACTTTGAATTAAAGGTGTTCAGTTGAAATTAAAAAAAAATAATAATAATAATTCAAAATTGGGAGCAACACAATCCATTCCCATTCCCTCTAAACATTTGTAATCAACTTTTTTGACAATGTCTTTTTGTTGCAGAATTGCACAAAAATGTATGTGACTTAAAAAGCCAGGGCACATTTTGCACCCATAATGCTTTCACACCCTGCTTCACAACTCTTGATCGGCCCAGATTAAACTGCACTTGTCTGATCCTGTACTTAGTGCTAAATGTTCCCAAACCTTTGTGACGGGCCGTACACTGACTCACATGTGCCTTTTTGATTCGTTCTGACGTGTGCCTCAGTGACTCACTGTGACTCACAGGTGCAGCTGTTTAATTATCTTGTGGGGAGGATGGAAATACATCCTGGGCTACACTTTAAAGTAGACTATATGCTTGTCTTGATATTGTGGATGGATAGCTGACATCTGAGTAAAAGAAAACATTTTTGATGTTCATAAAACAGATGTGTATATATTCTAAGTGGTGTAAAACAACACTGGTGACGTCACATCCCTGTCATACATGTATGAAGTCATGAGATTTAGCTTTTGTCTAACACAAGATCTCATTATGGAAAGTGACTCAAATCCTTTTTTTCCCCCTTAAATGTTTGTTCTGCTTCTACGCAGTGCTTTTCCTTTTGAAATTTCTATTCATCAGAGCATTAAAGGGGTCATATGATGCGATTTAAATGTTTTCTTTCTCTTTGGAGTGTTGCAAGCTCTTGCTGCATAAAGAAGATCTGTAAAGTTGCAAAGACTAAAGTCTCAAATCCAAAGAGATATTCTTTATAAAAGTTAAGAGTCAGCCACGCCTACCTAAAACGGCTCGTTCTAACACGCCCCCACATGTCTACCTCACTATGTGGGAAGATTTGCATAACGCTGCCCAAATGTTCACACAAAGAAAGAAGGCATAACTTTCATTCTCGCTGTTTTATTGTTGCTGCCGCCGCCGCCATGTCTTGAAGACACTGTGTTTTGTTGTGAAATCGAAACTACTTTGTTTGGTCTTCCAAAAGAGGACACGACTAGAAATCAGTGGTTAAGTTGTATTTACAACACTGTTCCAGAACAGTTCAACCCAAATATTCAGATGTGTGCAGCTGTCCCCACTGGATGCAACAAATGCCTCGTTTATAATGGGTTTTACTGGTTTTGTCTCGTCGCTCCAGGATACGGCATCACAATATGATAGGGGCGTAACATTTCCGTCACACGCTTAGGGTATTCAGCCAATCCCAACTCACTAGATAGCTGGCCAATCACAGCACACCTCGCTTTTCAGACCGATGAGCTTTGTAAAAATCAACGCGTTTCAGAAAGGCGGGGCATAGAGGAGAAACAATAATGTACAGTATGTGGAAAATAATGTGTTTTTTGAACCTTAAACCGCATAAACACATTTCATTACACCAAATACACAAAATAATGTTCTTTTTAGCAACATCATATGACCCCTTTAAAAAGATTGTGCCCTGGACTCCACAAAATATACAGCACAGTTTCCATTATTTCTAATAAATGTTTCTTGAGCAAATCAGCATTTTAGAATGATTTCTGAAGGATCATGTGCCACTGAAGACCGGAGTAATGGCTACTGAAAGTTCAGCGTTGCATCACAGGAATAAATTACATTTAAAATATATTCAAATAGAAAACAGTTATTTTAAATTGTAATATTTCGCAATATTACTGTTTTTGTAATGATAGTTATAAAAAAGGAATGGTCGCAAACTGATAGTGAAAACAAGATAAAACAGAGGTTAAATGTGTTGCTTCTAAAGAGCTGAAAGTTCAGCGTTGCATCACAGGAATAAATTACATTTCAAATATATTCAAATAGAAAACAGTTATTTTAAATTGTAATATTTCGCAATATTACTGTTTTTGTAATGATAGTTATAAAAAAGGAATGGTCGCAAACTGATAGTGAAAACAAGATAAAACAGAGGTTAAATGTGTTGCTTCTAAAGACACATAAAAGCAAACGCAAACTTTTTTTGTAAAAAGTGTTGATCTCGTTTCCTGTCACAACCTATTTGCTGTTTTGAAGCAGAGAGGAAACCATTTGTTAAGACATCAGTTTGCAAACAGAACAGTATTTTGTAATCTGTAATTTGTAAGATGGTTCCTCTTACATGTAATCAAACAGTTATTATGTAAATATATATTTTTTTGTTCACTTCTCAATTTTCATGAGCAGTATCCAAGTGCAAATATTTAAGGCATGCTGTAATAGAGTTGGTAATGCTGTAATGGCTAAGTTTGTAGTCTTTAGTTATTTTCTGAGTCTTTTATAGTGACCCAGGTACCATAAAATTCAGATCCCAGTCCAGTAGTGTGATAAATCTTGAAGCACAATTGGGAAATATTTAACAGGACAGCACCTAAGCCTGTTTTGTTGGAGTCAAAGTACTAGAGATCACAAGGTCTGTCCCTTTTCCTTAGTTGCCGTTGTCTGCTCATGAGTAGTATGTGTATGTCCTGCTGGAAGCACGATTCTCCCAGTCTAACACAGACTAACAGACATGTACAGCAGCAGCAGCAGTCTCAAGATTCCCACAAGTCCCCAAGACGAGGACAAAGGAGAAGGAAAGGTGTACGGGAATGTTTTTGCAGAACTGGAGTCAGTAGATTTGCCCCTAGGAACAACTTTAAGGTAGAGTGACTTATGTGTTATGAAATAATTGTGTTTTTGATGGATGCCTTAACCTGTTATTTTACCACAGTTATATGTAATACAGACTTAGGCCTATATGGTATTCAAATAGCAAAAACGATTAAAGTGGTATTACACTAATAATTCAAATAAATAAAATGCAATAATATTAAATAAAATTATAGAATTAAATTAAATAGTATAATTGTGACAAAAACACATAACAAAAATAAAACAAAATAAATATTTAAAAATGTACTATTTTAATGTTCACAAACTGTGAATGTGTAAGTAATTACAAAAATATTTGTACAAAAATAAAACAATAATAATGTATTTAAAAATATTTGTAATATTTTTTCACATGCTGTGAATATACTGTATAAGTAATTACAATTAAGCAATTACAAAAATTGTATAAGTAATACAAATGATTCAATATGTTGGTAGTGTATATACATATGAAGATATGTCATAATAGCAACACCGGGACTTCAGATTGAATGTTTTCACTCAATTAACCTATAGGTTTGAATGAATATTTAAGTTGTCTAAAATGCACATCTAACTCATGGAATTATTGAATAATAACCCCATGATTTACAATAAGCATTACATAAATAAAGAAATAAAATAATAATAATAAGTTAATAACACTAGTAACAACACATCATTCTTGGCCTTCTGTGTCAATTCCTTTTACCCCAGAGGTCTAATTTTATTTTTTCACTTCAAAATAAAAACAATGTTTTTTACTCTATATATCTTAAAACATTAATAATGTTCAAATGTGTGCCATTGTTTTCCATCCAAGGTCAAGAGAAAAGACCCACGTGCACTTTCCTATAATATTCGACTTATATGTGACCCTGGAGCACAAAAGCAATCATAAGTAGCTTGGGTATATTTGTAGCAATAGCCAACAATACATCGTATGGGTCAAAATTATCAATTTTTCTTTTATGCCAAAAATCATTAGGATTATTAAGTAAAGATCATGTTCCATGAAGATATTTAGTAAATTTCCTACCGTAAATATATCAAAACGTAATTTTTGATTAGTAATATGCATCGCTAAAGACTTCATTTGCACAACTTTAAAGGCGATTTTCTCAATATTTAGATTTTTTTGCACCCCCAGATTTCAAACAGCTGTATCTCAGCCAAATATTGTCCTATCCTAACAAACCATACGTCAAAGGACAACTTATTTATTCAGCTTTCAGAGGATGTATAAACCTCAAATAAAAAAAAATTGACCCTTATGACTGGTTTTGTGGTGCAGGGTCACATTTAGCTCTGCACAATCCGTAGCTCAATAATCACAAAACAGTGACCTCTAGCTTCATGTCTGGCCTGTAAAGTGCAAACCCCGCGAGCTGCCGGCTGCTGGAGCTCCACCTATCGGTGGACTGGAGTTACTGCATCTCTGTCGGCATTGTCACAAATGAACACTGTGACGATTAGAGCCAACATGGCGGACAGCGAGAGCTTGGAGACTATCACCGAACATGAGCGAATATTACAGGAGATCGAGAGCACGGACACGGCGTGCGTGGGGCCGACGCTACGGTGAGAGTTGAGCACCATCTGCTCTTATTTACCGTTCAGATGGCGACGTGATGTTTCTCCTGTCCGATGGATTGAAAGCAGGCCTTTGTTTGCTAAAGATGCAGCTCAGCAGGACTTTATGTCATTGGCAATGCTGATGAATCTATCAAATAAAGTGCTGATCGTATTGATGTGAATTCGTGTTTTTCCAGATGAATTTTATGAATGATCGCCGATGCTGTACTGACACTGTACACTGCTTTCACACACACACACACACACACACACACACACACACACAGTCAGTGACACAGATCGCTGTTTTCCTGTCATTCATCGTGTACGACTGGGGGACATTATTTGCGAATTATTTGTTAGAATTCGCTAAGCATCTGTCTGTCTGTCTTAATAAAATAAGATGTAAAAAAACACCTGAGGTGAAGCAGCACAGGCCCAGTGACGGTCTCGCTGCATTATGAATATTATGGAGGTGTCGACAGGTGGAAAGCTTCGAGCAAAATAGCTTTAGTTTAGCCAAATGAACGTCTCTGTCAGGTTAGATTCTTCAGTATACAGTCCATTTCCTTTTCCAAACTCATTTCGGCTGCGGAAGAGTGAAAGCTGATCAAATATGAGTGGGTGTGGCGTTAATAAATGAGTCTCTGGGTTGAGTTGGATATTAATATTCCTCTCTGAGCTCAGGTTTATCTCCTCATGTGATCTGTGTTTGAATCATTTCAGTAGAAAACACGATGACCCTCACAATTGGATGATTTCAGCGCAGTTGCATTTCATCATGTATTTCATATTTCATTAGAAACCGTGATTTTATGATAATGCTTTTTATTCCAGTAAAGATTTGCTGTCTTTGGCTTTCTGATTTCTGATGAAATCATGATTTCGGTAGGCTAGCGGTGATTTCTGATAAAAAATAATTTCACTAGTGCTCATCTGCATCTCATCATTAGATATTTGGCTTCACGATTTCTGATCAAATCATAATTTCGGTAGAGCTTAACTATTGTCCCATAATAAAGTCTCTGGCTTTATAGTTTCTGATCAAATTCATGATTTCGCCAGTGCTTAGCAGTGTCCAATCATGAGATCTTTGTCTTTATGATTTCTGATCAAATGATCATTTTGGTAGCGCTCGGCTGCGTCCCACCAGGAGATCTTTTGCTGTATGATGATAAGTCTTACCTACATTCCATCTCATGACATCTTTTGGCTTCATCTGATAAAATTATGATTTTTGTAGCACTCAGTTGTGTCCCATGAGCTCTTTGGCTTCATGATTTCAGATAAAATCATGATTTCTGTAGCGCTCAGCCAAGTCCTGTGATGAGATCTTTGGCTTTATGATTTCTGTTCAAATGATCAGCTACATCTAACCAGGAAATATTTGGCTATATGATTCAGTAGCACTCTACTACATACCATCTCATGACATCTTTATGATTTCTGATAAAATTATGATTTTTGTAGCACTCAGCTGTGTCCCATAATGAGATTTTGGCTACATGATTTCAGATAAAATCATGATTTCTGTAGCGCTCAGACAAGTCCTGTGATGAGATCTTTGGCTTTATGATTTCTGTTCAAATGATCAGCTACATCTAACCAGGAAATATTTGGCTATATGATTCAGTAGCACTCTACTACATACCATCTCATGACATCTTTATGATTTCTGATAAAATTATGATTTTTGTAACACTCAGCTGTGTCCCATAATGAGATTTTGGCTGCATGATTTCAGATAAAATTATGATTTCTTTAATGCTCAGCGACATCCCGTGATGAGATCTTTGGCTTTGATTTCTGGTCAAATCATGAATTCGGTAGTGTTCAGTTGTGTCCCTTCATGGCATTTTTGACCTAATGATTTCTGGAAAAAAATCATGATTTCAGTAACTCTCAGCTGTGTCCCATAATGAGATCTTTGGCTTTGTTTTCTGATAAAATCATAATCATGTTTCTAATAAAATGATTTCAGAAGCACTGTGTCATGACATCTTTGTCTTCATGATTTAAAAAAAATCATGATTTCAGTAGCACTCATGAAGAGCATGACGTCTTTGCCTTCATGATTTCTAAAAAAAGAAAATCACATGCGCTGTGTTCGCACATTTGCGTTCACTACAAGCAGCCTTCTCTCTATCTCTAGCTTTGTTACTTATATGTTATCTTCAAAAACCTGTACAAATTTTACTTGCATTTACATGGCCCCATGCACTGTTCTCTGACAAAAACCCAAGTGTAGTAGTAAACCATTTTCTCTTAAAGAAGGTACTTTAAAGAATGTGGTGACCAAACAGTTGATGGCACCCATTGACTTTCATAGTAATGGAAGCATTTTTCAAATCTCGTTATTTCCTTAAACAGCATTAGGAAAACACTTCACATTTACATGATGAATGCTTTTGATTTCTGCAAAAATGCACCTTATTTCCTAAGCCTATTTGCTTAAGTGTATATGTAAACCGAGTGATTGACCCTCATTCAAGCTCATGTTACAAAAGGGTGTAGTTTGGTTTCATTTACTGCCCTGTGGTGGTTGTTAGATGTATGTAGACTTATAATGATCTGTGTTTTGTGTTTGAGCTGCAAGAGGAGAGGCTTGACTTTTACTCGCTCTGTGTTTCTGTTTCCTTCAATACCTCCTGGCAGTTGTCCGGAACTTGCTGCCCTTTGGTCTGTTGAATTCAATAACAGGAAGGAGGAAACTCATTGTGAACATGGCCCTGCTGATAGTAGTTCTGTGTGCATATGTGCATATTCGCAGAAAGGATATCCCATTATGGGGCGTAATATGACCTTCCGAAAGGCAGTGGATGTGGGTACCGATTTTAGACAGCTTAGCGTGTTATGAGTAGAAATTGACCCTCAGCATTTTCCATTTGGCTGGCAGGAAAGGGCCGACCAGATAACTGCAACAGGGGTTGGATGTAAAAAAGCTGAGCGCATCTTAGTTGGTCTGTTCCTTACATACGATACAAGCATAGTTTTCCATTTTTATAGTAAAGTTTGGACCAGTAAGCAAGCATCCACCTATCTAGGGTTGTCAAATTAAAACTCAAACTTAGACAAAGTATGCAAAATTTTACATCCGAATTAGGGCTGGGTGATATATGATATTATTTCAACAGAAGAAAGACAGAAGGAAATGACTGCATTTTTCTCTTGACTGAATCTCTTTAATTAAACGGCTTTAGGAGAACATTTCACATTTACATGATGATTCAGAATGCTTTTGCTTTCTGCAAAAACCCTAGAATAAACCTTATTTCTTAAGTGTATGTAAACACAGTGATTGACCCTCATTCACGCTCATGTTGCAATAGGGTGTAGTTTGGTTTCATTTACTGCCCTGTGGTGGTAAGTTGTAGATGTATGTAGATGTATAATGATCTGTGCTTTGTGTTTGAGCTGTAAGAGGAGAGCCTTGACTGTTTCTGTTTCCTTCAGTGCCTCCTGGCAGTTGTCCGGAACTTGCTGCTCTTTGGTCTGTTGAATTCAATAACAGGAAGGAGGAAACTCATTGTGAACATGGCCCTGCTGATAGTAGTTCTGTGTGCATATGTGCATATTCGCAGAAAGGATATCCCATTATGGGGCGTAATATGACCTTCCGAAAGGCAGTGGATGTGGGTACCGATTTTAGACAGCTTAGCGTGTTATGAGTAGAAATTGACCCTCAGCATTTTCCATTTGGCTGGCAGGAAAGGGCCGACCAGATAACTGCAACAGGGGTTGGATGTAAAAAAGCTGAGCGCATCTTAGTTGGTCTGTTCCTTACATACGATACAAGCATAGTTTTCCATTTTTATAGTAAAGTTTGGACCAGTAAGCAAGCATCCACCTATCTAGGGTTGTCAAATTAAAACTCAAACTTAGACAAAGTATGCAAAATTTTACATCCGAATTAGGGCTGGGTGATATATGATATTAAGGGCTGGACGATTATGACAAAAATCATAAATGTCGATTATTCCCTTGAAATTGTAATTGCAATTATTAATTACGATTATCACAATTTACATTGAATGATGTTTATACCATTGTCTGGTGCAACTGCATGCTGTACTTTTATATGAAAATAAACAAGCTGAAAACACTCTAACTGAAAAACTTTTAGTGCTTTTCCATAGTATTAAGCCTCAAATGTCAACTATATATCGGATTGGTTTCTTCTTTAAATTAAATGAATGGTATTATAATGTTATACTAAAACTAAAACAATGGAAAAACCCTTAAAATAACATGTAGAAAGAAAAAAAAATCATTTTTAATGGTTAAATTAAATTGTATTAATCAAGAAGCATGTCTGATTAATTAAAATCATGAAACCTAAACAATTTAACATCAATGTATTAAAAGTTTAACAAAAATTACATGTTTAGGGCCCTATGAAATGTTTTATTTTTTCCAACCTTATGTTTTATTGTTACCAAATTCTGATTTAGCATGTCTAATTATTTGAAAGCATAAAAACAAGTTTAATTGATTCTTACAATAGCCTTATGATTTTTTGCTCAGAAATTCTGTGTTGTGTATTTACATTTTTGAAGGCATAAAATAAAAGTAATGAAATCTTTTAAGTAATGAAAATAAAACAAATTGCATTTTTTGGAAAATAAAGGTAATTTTATATTACAATTAAAACATTGAAGAATATTGAATGCTTATTCCTATTCCTTAAAAATCAGGTTTTAATAATTTTAGTAGTAGTATTAGCAGTCTGTTACGTACATTCTACTGAACAATAGTAATCTATTTCTGCCACAATGCCTTCAAGTTAAACCCAACTTTTATTTTGATGGGTTGCCGTGAATGCCTTTGCATTTCTGTGTGTATGTGAAATGATGATAGTTTTACTCAGATGAAACGGTCAAATTCTCATGAAGTGACTCTCAGAGCAGTTCTGGAGATGTTGTTCATGTATTTATGTCCTCATTAGTGAGACGACAGAAGTTAATATCACCGGAAGCGTCACGAGCGTTTCAGTACGAGTACTACAC